TTCTGTCAATATATTACTTAATTTTGAAGAGTCCAAATTATTTGGATTTTCTTCATACGTATACTTTCTTTTTCTTTTCCTTTTTAACTTTAAACTATCACTACCAATGTTTTAATCTTGATTTCAATAATTTGTGAAGTTTTTATCAATCGTTTCATTAATAGAGACTGTTGAAATTTCTCATGGTATTCGATATTACACTGTAAACATTAATTTATACACATTTAAAGTTTATATAAAATCAATGAATACACGATATATATAATGTGTATACATATATTATTCACTTAATTTGATTAATTTGTAATATGTATCTCATTTAATTTCTGACTACGTATTTAGCGTAAACATTCAATGTGAATGAGTAGTAATCATTCAATCCAAATAGCTAATAATATCGAAAATTCATGATTTGAAATTTAACTCCAATTTACTTCACGTTTAAGTTTTTGAACTCTTCTAAACCTTGTAACATGTTGTGGACAATCTCATTGGACTAGTATGGGCTACAACAACAGCCCAACACCAACGGCAATGTTCATGATAAAATCTTGTGCAAAATTTTAGGAATAGCAAGCATAAAAATCATATTAGTGGTCTATAGCTACAATGTTGTTATTTGTGCTCCATAGCAAACATAGTTTGTTATGGAGTATCTGATTTGTAAAATCGCAGGCAGACATCTCGTTTGTATAAAAGCACAACATTGTATATGTATATTAGTTAGATAATTGTATATATGTAACTACTATGTATATGTATCAATGATTATGTTTGTACATTTGCATAAAATTTAAATTTGTATACAATTGAATCGAATAAAGTATTTGTATACCAAATCTCTCTCGTTTTAGACAACACAAATTATACATTGTGTTGTATAAAACGAGAAAGAAAGAAAGACAAAAGAGAACTGGGCAGGAGAAGATCTGTATTTGTATAATTATAAGTGTATAGGACGAAAAGATATGTATTTGTATTTGTATATACAATTCTCTCTTGCTTTATACAAACACAAACACATTTTATACATTTGTGTTTGTATAAAGTTAGAGAGGCGAGCGAGATTTCAGCATGGCGAGCGAGATTCTCTGAATGGCAAAGTGTTTGCTATGAATTAGAATTAATTGAAACTATTGCTATGACATTTATTTTGAACTAATAGTTTAATGCAAAATTTTCCCTAAAATCTTTAACGTTTTTCTTTTCAAAACGCTTAGGAAAAACGAGTTGTCAATATAGATAATTTTGGTAGCATTCTAAAATGTGGGTCAATTTTAATAGAATTGATGTTTCAATTATATTTGTTCATAATTATTATCTTTTAATTACATTATCTGAAAAATAACTATTTATGAATTGTACTCATGTATGTATTATTTAAAGTCTAGTCAATTTTCAGAAAGTATTTAAATTATAGCCTAAAGAGGTCAATTTGATACAAAACCTTTTGTTGCTCTTGTCTTCCTTGGTGAAATGGTGAATGGTGATGTGCTTAAGAACTAGCAATGTGACAAACAATTCTATTTGTCTCCCTTTTTTATGTACAACATATATAAGCTTAGCCTACTAGCAATTATAGATGAAGAAAGTTTTTAAAAAAAATGCAAAGAAAAACGAACTTTAGTTTGGGAAAAAATATATTTGAATTTCGTAAGATATGAATAGTGATTGATATGAAATAATTTATACTCAGAAATTTCAGTTTAGAATTGTAAATTTTTAATATCAAAGTTTTGATTTAGAAGTTTCGAACTTCAATTTTTCATCTAAAATGAAATTTTCAAATACTTAACTTCAGTTGTCAAGTTATCAGATCTAAAGTTTGACAATTTTAACTGAATTTTGATTTTGACTTAGATAATTTCAACTAGATTTTGATCTAACTTTGACAATTTTAACCAAGGATGGCAATGAGGCGGTGCGGGGTGGGGGCGGGGAGGATTGAGCTTAACCCACAAAATTTTTAATTTGCCCCGCCCACATAACAACTTTTTTCATCTTCAACCTCCCCCCCCCCACCCTGCATAATTTTTTAAATATTTTTTTTCTAGTTAAATTTGATATTAAAAATAAAATTCATAAAATAGTTCTTTTTTCATTAAGTTGTATTAGTTTAATAAGATAGTGACTTAAAATTTTATTTTTTAGAGGTCAATTGGGAAACATGTAAGAAATTGCATTATTTTTTATTGAACCATTTTAATTTACTATCTTGAATATTTTAGTAGCTTTAAAAGAGATTATCTTAATAAATAATATTTTATCACTCTTATAACATATAAAAAAGTTAAAATTAAGTTTGAACCCACATAAAGTCACATATACCCACAACATGCCCCGCCTTGCATTAGTTTTAAAAAATCCACCTCAATCCGCTCCACATCTCACCCGCCCCACACAACCTTAAATCAGCCCCGCCTCGCATAGCCTTAAATCCACTCCGCCCTGCATCCGTCCTGCCCCATTGTGATCCCTAATTTTAACTTTAGACACGAAGGGCTGAACTTGAAAGTTCATGCCTATAATTTTAAACTCCAATCCCGTATATTTAATGTTGATTCTAAAAATGGCTAAATTTTAAGTAACTTATAGTAACTTTAACTTCTTAAAATAATGATCCTACTATTTATCCATTGCCCCTTTTTCATACCCAATTATTTAGTGTTGTTTATTTAATTCTTGGGAATAAGGGTAAAGTGCGCGTATAGCCTATTTCAAAACTCTTGTTTAAATCATAGTCAAATAATTTAGGGAAAATTACGTGGATAAGTAAATATATATTAGTTAATTAGCTAACATAGTTATAGTTTGAAATAATTACGGCTCGCAACTCAATTTTTGTAATTATGCGCGCCTCTCGCCTCTCTCCCCGCTTATACATATACAAAAACAAATTATACATATACAATTATATGACATATATAAATATGCAATTGCCTCTCTCCATTCTCTCCCCTCTCTCTACTCTCTCCCTATCTCGCTCGCCTCTCTCCTTCCTCTCCCAATATCGCTCGCCAGTTATATAAATATATATGTATACCAGTTACATATATACAATTATCTGGCAAATATACATATACAATTCGACATATATACATATACAACTCACTTCTCTCCACTCTCTCGCTCGTCTCTCTCCTCCCTCTAACATGTAGTTACAAATTGTAATTAGCAAACTATAACTATAGTCATTATAATTAAAATTATTTTAATGACTATTTGTGAAAGTTCCCCTAATTTATTATTTCTTGTGCAAGTTTAGTTGCTTTAAATTAAAAGCTTGTGTCTGAAATTTGGCTTGCCAAATCAAAATTCAAATAATTTGGTAATAAGTTAATAATGAGATTACAATATCAATCTATATATATATATATATATAGGATCAAGATTTACATTTTATTTTTAAAAAAAATTATCACACACGTTAAATTAGATGTTAACTTACTTATGACGATTATCAATGATTTATGTTGTTGATATTACATATATTATTAGGAAGCGAATGTTTATTGAGAAGTGACATGGAGCTATGGAAGTAATGTTTGTTGATTTAATGTGTTTTCGTCCATTAGTAGTTACAACTCTACACATAAATATGCATAATGCATTTGGGTGAGAATTCAAAGGTTTAAATTTTTAAATGTAAATTGAGTTATATTTTTTGAAATTAAGAGAATGTGAACCCCAATTTTTTTTAGAAATGCTAGACAATATTCCTCCACTATATATATTGAAGAGAATAAGATAAATTTTGTTGCATGTGATGAAAGAAAATTGTCACTTAAGTGTGAAAGTTCAAGTTGGAAACAATATCTAAAATTTCTGATAATTTCTTTGTAGTGACTTTTACAAGTTTTTATTTTTATTTTTTATAATAGTCTTTATTAGCATTTAAAACATTAAATATGCTTAAATAAAGACATAGAATCATGATTTTTATTTTATCAAACATAGAATCATGATTTTTAATTTATCAAACCTTTTTCTATATTTAGGTATTAAAAAAATTTATGTATCTAATAAGATATTTTATGACCGCGCGAAGCGCGGTCTATTTCACTAATATTAAATAATGACGAGGTTATTTAATGGATAGATTTTTACGATTCATTGAACTAAAAATGAATGTATAAGTAATAAGAACTACACATTTGAATTAAACAGAACAAAATTAGAATAAACTCTTATTTTTGAATGCTAATAATATTATTCCCTAAAAACTTTAGGTAAAGAGAAAAAAATATTTTTCTTATTCTTATCTCATACTTACTAATCTCTATATTATTATCCCACATGTAATACAATATAATATGTATTTTTTAGATATAGATTAATTTCAAATAAAAAATCTTAAGCTAAGTTTGCTGAAATGCAAATACAATAAATTCTTGTTGTCCTTTCTCAAATTTAACGCATAATAAGAACTTAGTGCATCGGGCCGTTATTCAATAAATTTTTATAGTTCGGTCCTTTTTCAAATTCAATCCATAACAATAACTTAGTATTGAATTGTGCATTAGAGACGGTATTTTATAAATACGTAATTATCAAGTTTTTGTTGTTTTTTCAACAATTTCTGATCTTCTCTTAACTTAAGAATTAAGTAAAAACAATGAAATTGAACTATATATGGTAGAAAACCGTGTGAATCATCAATACAATATTTGATTCACACGGGCCGCATGGGTTGTAACACAATAAATCTTTGCAGTTCGATTCTTTTTCAAATCCGTTCTATGACAAAACTTAGTGCATCGAGCTGTCAAACAATAAACCTTTACAATTTGATTGTTTTTCAAATCCACCGCATATAACAAAACCCTAATACATCGAGCTGTCAGACAACAAATCCTTGGCATCCGATCCCTTTACAAACAAGAAATTAGTATATCGGACTGTCGTTTTTTTTATTGCCAAATACAAAATAAAAATAATTCATAATTTATCAAAAAATTAACCCCTAATATAAAAGTGTTTTGGGAAATATTAGACGTGTCATTTCAGTGATTTCATCGTTTCACTTTCTTTCTCACACTCTCTCTGTGATGCTGTAGAAGCAAAAATGGGGAGAAAATCGGTCTTACAAAAGGGTAAGGAAAAAGTCACCGACGGCAAAGCCTCGTCGTCGGCCGGAAAACGAAAGCGTAACTCCAGCGACGACTTCGATGACGATAAAACCGGTGGCCGGAAAAGAAAAGATCGCAGTGTTCTTCAGTTCGTCGACGACGTTGCTTACGAGGTCGATGACGACGACGACGACGACTCTGATTTTGATTTCAGTGACTCTGATTTCTTCGACGAAGGTATACGTTACAGCTGACACTCAACTCCTTTTCAGATTTTGAATGTCTAGCGGAAATGACTGAGAAATTAGGGATTTTCAGTAAATCGGTTGGTTTAAAGCTATACTGGTCTGCATTGCTGTAGATTTTTTTGACTATTTGTTTGCATGTTTGTGGTTAGATAAAGGTTTTCAGAGTCGAGGATTTTGAAGGATTAGCTGTAAAATATTGTTTGAAGGTATATAAGACGGCATAGCAGTGATCTAGTTCCTTTTTGCTTTGTTCTGTATATTCGCGTATTGGATAATTCAGACAACTGTCTGAGAAATTAGGGATTTTTGGTAAATCTGTTTGTGTAACCGGTCTGCATTGTCATAGATTTTTTTGACTGCTCATTTGCATGTTTGAGGTTTAAATAAAGGTTTTAAGACTTTAAGCTTTTGAAGGATTACCTGTAAAAAGTTGTTTGTAAGTATACGAGATAGCATAGCAGTGACCTTGTTCCTCTTTGATTTGTTCTATGTAATCGCGTCTTGGATAACACAAAAATCTGATGAGAAATTAGGGATTTTGGCGAATCTATTTATGTAGTAGGCTTCGTATGCATGTTTACACACTTGTGGTTTTCTTATGCATGTTTGAGGTAAGACAAAGGTTTTAGGATTTGAGCATTTTGAAGGATTAGCTGTAAAAAGTTGCTTGAAGGTATACGAGACAGCATATCAGTAACCTAATTCCTTTTTTGCTTTGTTCTGTATGTTTGTGTTTTGGATAATTCAGAAAAATGACTGAGAAATTAGGGATTTTGGTGAATCTGTTTGTGTAATAGGCTATGCTAGTATGTGTTTTCACGTACTTGTGTTTTTTTTGCATGTTTGAGGTTCTTATGAGCTTTTTGAGAACTTAGGCTTTTAAAGCTAAAATTTGCTGTTGAAAAATTATTCTGAAATTGCACCCATTGGTGTAATATTTTTGTTCATTCTTTGTTTGGTTTCACCAATTAACTTAGCATGGAGGTCTTGTTTAAAATTTACTGATTTTGTTGCCTTATAGCAAATGAACAAAGAGAAAAGGAATATATGTAGGTTTCATTATGCGATCTTGGAAGTTATTTGTTTGAACGGGATTCACTTTTCTGTAGTAAACTTGGGTTCTAAAAGCCGATGTTAAGCAAAACCACAGTCTTGTACTGATTCTGGTTTTTTTCCTTTTTAATTTGTATTTTTGATTGTAAATCATTTTATGTTTCTCAGTGACTGTTGTTTAGACAGTACCCTACATAGTACGTACAAGGAAAAAAATTATATTTGACAAATCTATTTATATTTTACATTCCTTGAAGATGCACGGTCCAAGGCGTGGTTGATTATCTGTTTTCTTTTGATTGACATCTTTTGTGTGTATTATTTATATAAAAGGGAAACAGGAGCGTATTTTAAGCAACAGCTCCCCAATACCATAATTCTCTTGGCCTAGAACAATTAATATATTATTCTTTCTTATATTAAGCTTCATACTTATAAGCAGCTCATATTCATTGCTGCTAGCTTGATTTATCTCAATCTTCTCTGTACAGGTGCTTGTTGTGTATTACCTCTCTGATTATCCATTTTCAAATTGTACGCTGGTCAATGCTGCCTCTCGATTTTTACTTTTTACTTTTTATTTTTTATTTTTTATATTATCTCTATAGATTCAACTCTTACTGATCAACAACAACAACGTGCCCGATGTAATCCCACAAGTAGGGTCTGGGGAGAGTAGGATGTATGCAGACCTTACCCCTACCTTTGTGGATGTGGGGGTAGAGAGTCTTGTTTCCAATAGACCCTCTGCTCAAAAGAAGTGTAATCAAAACATGATAGAATCATGTGCTTCTTGTTCTAACAATAACAGCATTGCCTAAGTTGCAAAAAAGAAGAATAAGAGAGCTTATAAGCCAACGTACCTTCCTTCTAGATTAAACTATAAGCAGTTTAGGCCTAATAAATGCGGCAAGATAAGCACGGCACCTGAGCTTAACATTTTTTTATTTGCACAGGGTGATCAGGGAAGGGGGGAGTGAGTTACTATTATTTTTGGTAGGTACACTGTGCCAGAACTATTTTGAGTTTGTTTATCTTATCAATGTGGTTCTCCCTTTGGTGTAAAAAACAGATTTGCTTGAAGAAGAATTTGGAAGTAATGTTGAAATCAAGAATGAACCTGTGAGAACACCCCAACCCCCAGTGATCAAAGAGGAGGAGATGGATGGAGAAGAGCTAGAGCGGATGTTAAGGGAGCGTTATAAACCAGGTTCTAGTTTTGTTACCTATGCAGAAGATACTGATGAGAGGAAGAGACAGTCTGAGCAGGAGACACTTGTGCCTTCTCTCAAGGATCCAACTATATGGAAAGTTAAATGCACGGTATAGTAATTGACATCGAAGTGAAAAGCCAGTCATACATATTTGTCAGATTGTTGTCATTTAGTTCTTTCCTACTGTCATTCTAGTTTTACAGCTTATGTTACTTTATTTTTTGTATTTGCGTTGTTCAATAGGTTGGAAGAGAGAGGCACTCAGCTTTCTGTCTTATGCAGAAGTATATAGACTTGCTTGCTTTAGGAACAAAGCTGCAGATAATATCCGCTTTTGCACTTGATCATGTGAAGGGATATATTTATATCGAGTCTGACAAACAATGTGACATTTACGAGGTCCTACTTTTTTTTTTCTTTATCATGACATTCTTAGGTCTTGAACTGGCCTTGATGCTTCTGTGGAAGTCTGATCATTCGTTACTGATTTTTTGTTCTTTTTGATAAAGTATTCTTTAATGACATTCTAAACTGACTAAACCGAGCTGCTTGTATAGGCATGTAAAGGCCTTTGTAGTATATATTCAACTAGAGTGGCACCTGTTCCACTGAATGAAGTTTCTCATTTGATTGCTGTCCGGAAGAAGTCTAGTGGGATTTCTGAGGGCATGTGGGCACGTGTCAAAAGTGGAATATACAAGGGTGATCTAGCACAGGTACTATTAATTTCATCTGCTGGCTGCTATTTAATCTCTCTTATTGTACATGTAAATGCAATATGATGTATGCTGCTTATTGGCCTCAGTTTACTTGTCTAAGAAGTTATGCAAGTGCAACAATAATGAATCACCTTCTTTTATGTGCTTGCTAACTGTTTCATCGTGGTCTGTAGGTTGTGGCAGTGAATGATTCGCGGAAGAAAGTGACAGTGAAGCTGATTCCAAGAGTAGACTTACAAGCCATTGCTGACAAATTTGTAATAATTTATATTCGATTTTCAGAATTATTTTATGTTTTTGTTAATGTTAATAACTCTTTCAATATGATGCATAACATGCTACTTCCCATAACATGCTACTCCCTTCTTCTCTTCACTTACCCATCCCAAAAAGAAACAGAAGTAAAAGGAAGAGAAAAAACCTGGGGAGGGAGGGACGGTGCTGCCCGTGTATTCTGGGTAATTGTGCTTTGGTTATTTGACCTCAACTTTCTAAGAAATGCACATCTTGTTGGAGCTGTTAGTCTTGTGCATTTGTACTTAATTGGTGGTTCTGATTTGAGTATTTCCTGCACTGCACGATGAAGATACTTCTAATTTTTTTGTATTATATTACGATTTTAGATCAAAGTAATGTACTTCCTCTTCTCTTTGTTTTAATGTTTGCTCCTATGCTCTATTAGTATATATGCTTGATTTTGACTAAGCACTTATAAGTTTTTAGCTAATTATGCACTTAGCAATCCAGATTTACATCTTATTAATCTACTTTCATTTAGCTTAGGCTTATATATATCGTCTGCAGTCCGCTACATAAAAGCTGGTTATCATCCTCGCTGATAAAAAAATGCTGGTTATCATCAATACACCTATAAATTATAATTTGACTAGTCTTCTTAGAATACATTTTTAAGGGCTTTGGATTTCCTCTTTGCAAGAGCTGAACATCTTTTTGATGGAAGTAAGGTATTTCATTAGTTGCATCAAGGAGATGCAAAATTACAGAAGAAGCATATGTTAGCTTCTGTACAGTGCGTTTCTAAGGACAGGGAGCTAAAGAAAAAAACCTAAAACATATGGGGTTGAGCTAAAGTTAGTAAACTGATAAAAATCTTAAGGTAGGAGCCAAGATTATGTACAGGGGTGAGATTTCTCCAACTAAAGAGGTATAGTATGCTTTTGACTTCAAAAAGTGGGTAAGGGTTGAAATGTCATCAAAACATTGTGATTCCTCTCTTGCCAAAGACACCAAAAGATGCATGCAGGCATATCATGCCCGCAGCTACTGGGTAGTGAAGGACTGGTGATTGAATGGTTTTGAGCTGTGCTGGCACATGTAACATCTATACTAGCTGGAATTTCCTTGTAGAAAGGTTGTCTTGAGTTAGACAGGCTCTTCTGAGAGCTGTCCATGTGAAGGTCTCAAATGAGAGTGCAAAAATGCAGGGAATTATTGGTTGTTATCACTGTTGTTTTCTCTAACTGGGAATTGTTATAAGTACATTTTCACCTGGGTTTATGGTTTTTATTTGACTGGTGGAGATTTTAATTCCTAATTTTAAGTCACGGTTTAAGTTGATCGTAAAACATCTCTATACTTTAGTATTCATAGACTTCTAATATTGTACATTTGTTTTGTTTGAGACTGTTCAAAGTATGTAGCATATTTATGTTTCCATACCTTTTCATTTTTTACTTTCAGCTTACTCAGATAGCTGAGTTTTTAAAATTTATAGGGTGGAGGAGTTGCTGCCAAGAAGGGAGTTATTCCAGCACCAAGACTAATTAGCTCTACAGAGCTCGAGTAATACCATACTCCATTTGTTACTATTCCAATATAATAGGTTGCAAGTATTGATGTTTTGCCGTAATTTAACTGCAGAGACTTTCGGCCTCTAATCCAGTACCGTAAAGATCGGGATACAAACCTAATGTTTGAAATTCTTGATGGAAAGATGCTGAAGGATGGTTATTTATACAAAAAAGTGGGGACTGATTCATTGAGCTATTGGGGTGTAATGCCTACTGAAGCTGAACTCCTGAAGTTTGAACCTTCTAGTAATGATGAACCCCAGGATGTAGACTGGCTTACCCAGCTTTATGGTGATCGGAAGAAAAAGAGAAATACAAATGATTTTAAGGTTGGTCAGAAAGGAGGTGAGAAAGGGGAGAGTTCTTCAAGCTCTAGTATGGAAAACAATTTTGAAGTAGATGATCTTGTATTTTTTGGGTAGGTTTCGTCTCTTACTGTTCACCAATTTGGAATCCCCCCCCGGTATTTGCCGTTTTTGCTTAAAAGTTCTTATGTGCTTTTACAGTAGGAATGATTTTGGCATTATTATTGGCAAGGAGAAAGATGATAGCTTTAAGGTATATTCGATTCGTATCTATCGGCTTTATTTTGCTTTGGGTGAATGATATCTTATTTTAAAGTGATTATTTCTCAGATCATGAAATATGGATCAGAGAGACCTGTGGTAGTGAGCATTCAACTGCGTGAATTGAAGCGTGCATCTTTTGATAAGAAGCTATTCACTGTGAAAGACCAGCTAACTAATGTCATTTCAATCGGTGATGTGGTTAGAGTTTTGGATGGTTCCTTGAAGGTTCGACCTTTTTTTATTTTGGGATGATTATGGTTGTGTAGTCAACTTGTGCGCACGCAACTTATCTAATCCACCAGTGACTTGCTATCTCCCACCACTGCCCACCAAAGGTTAGGTAGATGAGAATAATTCACTAATGCTTCTCCTGGCCCAAACCTTGATTCCCAAGGTTGTTTCCCCACTAGGTTATCCCCTGGGAAGGTGGACTGTTATTCAGGGATGGAGTAACATCATTTTATTTTTCATTAGTCTTCTGAAATGATGTAATGGGGGATTAATAAATGCAGGATAAACAAGGAACTGTGAAGCAGATTTACAGAGGTGTCGTCTTCCTATATGACCAAAGTGAACAGGATAATAATGGTTATCTCTGTGTCAAAGGTCAGATGTGTGAAAGAATTGCAAGCAGTGGTGGTGTATCGAACGGGAAGGTCTGTACTTTTGTTTTTTTTTAAACTAATCATATTTGTTGCGCTAATATTTTTGTGCATATTTTATTTAACCAGGGAAGTGAACCTGGTCCCTCAGGTTTAGCAGATTTCTCATCATCACCTAAATCCCCTCTTTCGCCTGAGAAATCTTGGAGAGTGAAGGATGATAATAGCAGCTGTATGTTTTTTAGGAGTCTGCTCTTTTTCTAATTGATGCCTCGGATCAAGACACTGCGTACAATTAAAATATTGATTCCTTTAACTTCTGTTTTTATTCTCTCCACAGTCAAGCGCGGGGATGACAATGAAATGTTTTCAGTTGGGCAGTCACTGAGAATCCGTGTGGGGCCTTTGAAGGGATATCTTTGTCGTGTAATAGCCATACGACGTTCTGATGTTACAGTAAAGCTTGATTCCCAGCAAAAAATTCTTACAGGTTCATACATTTCCTTGCTTTGACTTCTAATGTTATATGGGAAATTGTCACTAAAAAGAGTCTGTCTTTGTAGTCAAATCTGAACATCTTGCGGAAGTTCATGCAAAGAGTTCCGTCGTATCTCTTGGGTACAATTTCTTTACCTGGACAAATTCGAGGAGAAACTTTCAATTACTTTTTGACATTTTGATTTCTTTTAACACTCGTTACTTATTACTATAGGGTTGATGGTGATTCATCAAAACCTTTTGACCTGCTTGGAACACAGGATGGTTCTGACGGTAAGAAGAGCATTTTGCTCCATTTCTTGAATGAGTAGTACTCCCTCCATCCCAATTTATGTGGCGCCGTTTGACCGGGCATGAAGTTTAAACAATAAGGGAAGACTTTGTTATATTTACCAGATTTCCCTTCGTAAAGTCACTTTAGTGCTTACTTTTAATTTTGACTTTTCTTCACAATAAAGTGTTAAGTGGGACCCAATAAAGGCAAGGATGGTGCCATTAAATAATTGCCAAATAAAGAAAGGTGACATTTTTCCTGGGATGGACTAAAAAGGAAAGTGTGCCACATACGTTGGGGCATAGAGAGTAGTACTTTTTATTTCAGAGTAAAAGCACCAAATAGGTGCAGTTACATACAAAAACAAAAGCCTAGTGAGCACAGACGAATTCAAGTAAAGAGTTGGAACATCATACATCTGTCATTCTATACCAAAAGCCAAAAGATATAAGCATGACTAAGTTTGTGTGTTGAGTTAACTAAGCCTTCAAAGCATCTTCTGTTCCTTTTCCACCCAACTAGTCCAAAAAAATGCATGCAGGGATGGTCATCCATGTCTTCCTATTCTGTTATGCATTCTCTTCCTTCCTGCGACATAGCAGTTCGTCACATATCGATTGCATTACCCATTTTAGGTTGTATAAGCTGAAAATCATGCACCACAGTTTTCTGGCAGTTTGCCTTTTCCTCACACATGGAACCTCTGCTGCACAACACCATTCCCACCCTTTGTTGTTCTGTTTGTGTCAAACACGCTTCATTTGCAGTTATCCAACAAGAACTACTCACCTTAACTAGTGCTTTGGCTTCCAGAGTATCTTCCAAGGTCACTGTGTAACAGTACTCTGCATGTTGCACAAAGTTTTGTACCCATACTTGACAGTGTACTTCCTATCTTTTTTATGTTCTGTTCCCTCCTGATTTTCCAGCAGCTTAGCGACTCCCCTAATTTCCCAGTCTTCACAGTTTCTCCTAAAAGATAATCCCTGTCATCTTTGTGACGTTGTGCCTTGCTTTAGCATTTACTTCCAAATTATATTGGGATGGGTATCTCCTGCCCAAATTTATCTGTGCATGCCACTACCCATTAAGAAGTGTATATTTTGAAGTAATCGTCTCTGAGTTTTCAGATGCTCTTCAACAAGTCCACTCCATGAGGTCCTGTGACAGGTTTACAGGACAAACTGTTCTACCCATGTCTGGCAATTATAACCTTCTTCTGCATGCAAAATTTATTACTGCTTTTGAACATACCCTTCTACATGGATGTATCCGACTGCAGAGGCTTCTTTTGCCTTATATTTTGTTTAGCTTTCAGTTTTCTTCTCTATTGTTAGTTAATGTCAAATTTTCTGTAGATCTGTACTTTTCCTTTGACAAGTAGAGTCTGTACTTTTATCCTTTTCTTCACTTTGTTGCACTTACTCTGTATTTAGAAGACAGAGTACCTATCTACTGCACTATTGAATGGTTAGCGTCGAGTAGTGCAGTTGATGAGATTCAGCATAGTTAACAAATTTATTGAGGTTTCTAACTTAATTGTGTATGAACTTACCACCTATTTCTTTTATCTTTCTGGCAGATTGGATGGCTCAAGGGGCTACAGCCACCGAGGGTAACACCGGGAATGCATCATGGGGTGCATCTGGAGGTAGTGATAGAACTGTTGCTGACGCCGGGAAAGATGATGGTTGGGCGAAAGCTACTTCTGCTGTTGGTGCCACTAGTGGTGCGTCTGATGGCTGGGGCAAAAAGGTTGAATCACATCAAGAGAGCACTGAGAAGATTACAGATAATTCCTGGGGAAGTTCTGTGCAAAAACAAGGGAATAATGATGATTCTGGCAAAACCTCATGGGGCAAGCAGGACGGTGGATCTTCTTGGGGTAAGCAATCTGATGCAAATGCAGAGACTGACTGGAAAAAACAAGATGGTGGATTGGACAAGACAGATAGCAAAACCTCGTGGAGTCAGCAGGGTGCCGGATCTTCTTGGAATAAAAGTGATGGTGGATCGCCTTCAAGTAAGCAAGTGGGTGGATCTTCTTGGGGTCAGCAATCGGATGCAAATGCTGAAACTGGATGGAAAAAGCAAGATGGTGGATCAAATAAGCCAGATAGCAAAACCTCGTGGAGTCAGCAGGGTGCCGGATCTTCTTGGAATAAAAGTGATGGTGGATCGTCTTCAAGTAAGCAAGCGGGTGGATCTTCTTGGGGTCAGCAATCGGATGTAAATGCTGAAACTGGATGGAAAAAGCAAGATGGTGGATCAAATAAGCCAGATAGCAAAACCTCGTGGAGCCAGCAGGATGCTGGATCTTCTTGGAAGAAGAGTGAAGGTGAAGGTGGATCCTCTTGGGGGGGTAAGCAATCTGATGCAAAGGCAGATAATGACTGGAAAAAGCAAGATGGTGGATCTAGCTGGAGTAAGCCAGACAGCAAAACCTCTTTTAACCAGCAGGGTTCTGGATCTTCTTGGAATAAAAGCAACGGTGGATCTTCTTGGGGTAAGCAATCTGATGCAAATGCAGAGACTGTCGGGGAAAAACAAGATGGTGGATCTAGTTGGAGCAAGGCTGATGACAGCAAAACCTCTTGGAGCAAGCAGGATGATGGTTCTTCTTGGAACAAAAAGGACGATGGATCTTTCTCCAAGCCAGCTGGAGGTACTTCTTGGGACAAAGGAAGTGGTGGATCTACTTGGAATAAGAAGGAAGCTGGATCTGGTGGGGGAGAAGATACCAGATCTACTTGGGGCAAACAGGATGGTGGATCTTCTTGGGGTAAAGAAGCTGCAGGGGGTTGGAAAGAAGGTGAGAGTGGGAATAGTGGTGGTACGGACCAAGAAGGAGGAAGCTGGGGAAGGCCAAGAGAATTTGATGGAGGTCGTGGATCAGGTGGTAGGAGAGGACGAGGTGGTTGGCGAGGAGGTCGAGATCAAAGTGGTAGAGGAGGATCCTTTAATCAAGGACGGTCTAGTAGCCGGACTACTGATGGTGAAGATAATAATAATAATTCTAATAATGTAGCATTTAAGGGTAACCAGTCTAGTTGGAGTAATTCACAGGAACATGGTAAAAATCTTAATGAAGACGCCAGTGGTCCTAATAATCAAACGTCTGATTTCCAGAGCACTGGTGGTTGGACTGCTTCCAAACCATCAAACGATGGATGGTCTTCTGGTTGGAATAAAAATTCAGCCACAACGGAGGTAGGAGGTTCTGGTGGAAACCAGTCTGATTGGGACAAAAAATCTGGTGAAGTGGGTGGAGCTGCTGGTTGGGACAACAAGATTACCCAGAAAGCGTCAGAAGGTAACAACTCTGCATGGAATAGCAAATCTGCAGTCGAACAAGATGGAAATGGAAAAAATCAAAATGATACATGGAAAAAGACTTCTGATGGAGGTTCATCTACCGGATGGGGTCAAAGTAATTCGTGGAAGAGTGGAACTAATGATGCGGGTGGAACTCAAGATTCTTGGAGCAGCAAAAGTAACTGGAATTCTGGAAGTGGCTTCGGTGGCAACAACCAGCAATCTGATTCTTACAGTGACAGGGGAAGAGGTGGTAGTTGGAGGGGAGGCCGTGGTAGATCAGATAGGGGTGGATATGGAGGTAGGGGTGGTTCAGATGGTGGTGGCTTTGGAGGTAGGGGTGATTCAGATGGTGGCGGCTTTGGAGGTCGGGGAGGTTTTCGAGGTAGAGGGGACAGAGGAAGTTTTAGAGGTAGAGGATCAGATGGGGGAGGATTTCGTGGTAGAGGGCGTGGAAGGAGGGATGAAAGTGGTGAATGGCAGAATAGAAATGATTCGCAGGAAGATAAACCCTACAGTTGGAGCAAAGGCTCTGGAAGTGATGCTGAGGGATGGAAATCTAATAAGGGCAGTTGGAGCCAAGATAACAATAACAAAGGCAGCTGGAAGAGTGCTGATAGTACAGGTAATGCTGATGATGGTGGATGGAAGAAAGGATTCGACTCTGAAAAGAATGTGAGTGGAAGTGGTGCTAGTACTACCAGTTGGAATAGTCAAGGAAATAGTTGGAAAGCATCAACTACTACTACAGGAGGTAATGCTGATGATGGTGGATGGAAGAAAGGATTCGACTCCGAAAAGAATGCGAGTGGAAGTGGTGGCAGTTGGAAGACTGAAGGAAATAGTTGGAAAACATCTACTGCTACTACAGGAGGTACTTCGTCAGGGTGGGGTCAGCAGACAACTGTTGGTGAAAAGGAGGTTCAGAATGACAAGGGAACAAGTTGGAACCAGGGAACTGGTTCAGGAAACGCGAGCACAGCTTGGACTGCAAACAAATCCAACACGGACAATGTGAACAAACCAAAAGAAACAAGCGACGGACCGAGTGATGCATGGGGTAAATCAACCAGCTCTTGGGGCAAAGGAAACAGCTCTGGCGGTCAGGGAGGCTGGTGACAACTTTGGACGGTAATTATATGTACATAAACTTGGTTTATATTCTTCTTATTTAGGTCTTTATAATCTAAATCTTTGCCCCATATGATGCACAGATTCTACTTGCAGATATTTGGGATGATAATCTCAACGTTTTTTTTACCATTAAAAGATGAACTATTTGAAACTTCATTAGCTGTCGCTATACAATGCTTAATATACTTGCTCGGTTGAGATTGTTGTGTAAATATTTTGATGCTCTTCCAAATTGATCTGTTTAATTTGGAACTGGCTAAAATGTTTGATGTACAGGTCATTTTGTATTTGCCAGTTTCCTTGTTGAACATTGTAGTAATAATTTTGTCCTTAATTTATGCAGGTTATTTTGCTATGGAGGGTCGATTGGGCCATCCATGTAATTATGGTTTGTAAAAAGAACAAATGACGGACTAGGTCTTGGGGGACGCATGGATTGGGACTTTAGATGCTTTAGATGTAGCGTAAGTTATTACTCTTGAATTGCCGGACATAAAACTTTTGGAATGTTGGATGTTCGATAAGACTCTTCATTTTCAATTTCGAGACTGATAATTATCGCGGTGCTTGCTTTCGCGATGACTTTAACATGTAGCCTTTGGCATGGATTGTGTTTGGCCAAATTACTTTCTCCTCCAGTTGTGTTATTTACTTCTGTTTGATACTTATTCTTGGGGTGTCTTCATGAATGGGAGTTCCTTGGATGTGATATGTCTACGTAAATTTGGAGTCTTTAGATGAGACATCGTGTTGATGTTTTGAGGTGGTTTACTTATTGGTAAGGGAAGTATTACCTCTTGTATCTTTGCCTCTTCAATAGGTTATGTCACTGTGTTCTTATAAATGAAGAATAACTGTGTCTTGGAATCTAAAGTTCACGAAGAAAACTCGCAAGATAATAATATGGTCAGTGAATTATAGTTTGATGGTAGTATTAGTTGGTTCTAGTACTGCTATGCTACTTATTATCTGCTGCTTTGTTTACTATCTATCGTCTCTTGTACTTTCATTACTTCTTTTTTAATCTGTTTGTGTCTTGAGTTGAGGGTTTTTCGGAAATAGTCTCGTTACCTCACCTCTAACAGGTAAGGTTTGTGTACATTCTATCTTTTCCAGTTGCATTATATGGGAATACATTGAGTATGTTGTTGATCGTGGAGCCACTAGTAAAATGCTATTTTGCATTATTAAACTTGAAATGTTGAATTATTATTATTAAGTGAAAAGGATGTTTAGAATTCCTCAAATCACTCGCACATGGAGATTATTATGCGTAGAAAACAAAAGAACACATTGTATCAAAGTGTTTGGTTTAGTTGAAAAAGGCTAAAAAGTCATAATAGGCTCTGAAATTGATGTATGATCCGAAAAAGGACCCTTGGCCAATCATACTCTTATCTTTCTAAAATTTAATAATTATACAATTTTCAACACTTTAATTCATCATCATTTATCGCAAAAAGTCAAAAAATTCCATTAGCCACCAATTCTAAGTCATACTCAAGCACCCCACAAGAAGAAAATGTTTTTTAAAAAAATAAGGGAAAACAAAGTGGTGACGTCCAATAGTTAACAACCCATAAATACCTCTTTGACATTCTTATCAATCAATTATGCATTTCTCAAACAATTTTAGATCTTTATGTAATTCTTGTGAAATAGATTTTGTATTCAATCAAGTCTTTGATAAAAAAAAGAGGAGAATTTCCATGAATGTAAGCACGGTGACAATGGACTTCTCAAAAAGCCAGCTTTTTTTGGTGGATACTTCTCGTTCTTATTTAGACTACTTCATTTCGTAAGCAGATTCTATTTCTACTTTACTTTCTTTACTATCCACCATTTCTCTATTTTTATAGCTTCTTTTTAAGTTTTTAAGTAAGAATAGGTGACAATAATATATCTAGATCATATTGTTGAGTGATGGATTGAGATTTAAATTTTAAACTATTTTTAAAAATAGAACACCATTATTCTTTTTAAATAAATTGGAACAAGACATAAAAAAAAAGTGAAACCTAAGAGTGTGACACAATATCTAACAACCCATAAATTCCTCTCTTTCACATTCCTATCAATCAATTATTATATACAAAGAAAAATTGGGACCCTTGAGATTATCAAGTTGCAATATATTTTCTTATATCTTTTGATTCTTTCTTGAATAAATATAACAATATAAGTAAATGCTATAGTAAGATTAAAAATAATTGGTTGGTGTACAAAAATAAAATAATTAAAAGAGATAATAAGATAGTATAATAAGTGGTTGATGATAATTTTTGTGGTGCGCCGCTCCCAAACATCATTCCAAAAAAGTCACCATCATCGCCGGCGCCAGTGGACCCGCCACCACCGCTCCCGCTAGCTCCGGTGGTGGTCCCTCCTCCATATGATATACTAATACTTTTATCCCTGTTTTTTTTTTTAAAATAATAAAATATATTATTAGAGATTGAATCCTAATATTTTCGATATGAAATATATATAGATGTGAAAGAATGAGTTACTAATGAGTAATGATATAACATATATACATATAAATGAATTTAAGATTGGACCATTTTGTATCTATTAATAAAAATTATTATAACAAATACATCGTTTGAAAACTTTGTATATGTGCGTGTGTTATTGCTAAAATTTGTCTGGCCAATCCTAAGGATCAAATGCACCCTTCGAAATTCACAGATAATAACGTCTCTTCATTTTTCATGAGTTTCTCGTATATAATAAAGTATCTCTAGTTCTTTTCTACAATTATTTAGATTTTTTAATCAAATTTTCCAATCTCTTCTGAGGTCGAATCATTATTTCTTCTCCACCTAAATACCGTGCTTAATTTGCATGATGCAAGATTCAAATATGTGACCTAAATCACGAGTCTCTCGATCATTGCCACTTGAACTAAGCTCCACCAATTTAAGAATAAATTCATAATTTCAAAAGCACAATATCTTTCGTATTAAATATTGAATAAATTTAAATTTTCAATTCCCCCACCCCTTTACTTTTTATTTTCTAATACCGTTCAATAATTTTGTTATACAAAGAGACTAAGAGAGACATATACCTAAAATGATGGCTTTTTTTTTTAAAAAAAAATTGCAATAAAAACTATAATAGTTTGTTGGAGAAAAACATGTGGGCAAATAGTAGATGTCCCATTATGGGTCTAATTTTTCTTGATAATGACACATTTAAAATTTATTTCAAGAAATATGAGAGGGTGAGTAATTTTTTGTTTATTCTTTTTTTTTTTTTGGTTTTTGTTTATTCAAATATATTAATTAAACGATTCTAATAGGTTAGAGAACGGAAAAGGTCTTTTTGATATGCCATTTTCTAAGAGTCTAATACATCCAAAAAAAGAAGGGGAAATTGTTTATTTACAAAAGAACATATTTATTTATATTGGTGCAAGTACAACAACAACATTCCTAACCTAATTTCATAAGTGAGGTTCGAAAAAAATAACGTACACAGATTTTATCAGCATTTGACTATAGATTTTGAATCAAATTTTAAAAAATTGTCTTAAAAAATATGTTTTCACATAGATTTTGCATGATACTTTAAAAAGTTGTCTTTAAAAAAAGTTCAAGTTTCAAAAATTGGTCCAGATCAACTTTTGGGACTTCCACAAATAAAATTTCACGATCAACACAACTTTAAATTTTAAAAATCATAACTTCAAAAATTAATGTTTATAGTTTTAAACATTAAAATCTATCACTAAACGAGAATTTTATCCCTTTCTTTATGAGGTAAAGAGACTGTTTTCAACGTACACAACGCAAGAGGTGTGAGTCTAACATGTACTAGTACTTGCATTTTTTCCACTAAATCTTTAATACCAAATTGAGCAACTAGGCCATATGGGCCCTACCTTTATCTTTAGTCCAATAGGCCCAATTAATATCAAGTGTGGGGTCCAAATTCTTTAATAAAAAAGTGCATTTTGGGCCCACTTTTTTGCATGGGCTGGAATGCATGAACCCAAAGAATCTAACTTCATATCTCTCACACACTCTTATTAAATAACCTCACCTGACCTAATCTTCCCTTTTTGCCCTTCACTAAATTTAATTATAATTATTAGTACTATACTATATAGATAGATACATATATAAAATATAAAGATTCTAGACTTGACCTCTTTATGTTGTTAGAAATTTGTTAGTATAATAGTGATTAATGACGTGATTGAGAATTATGAGATTTTAAGTTGAAGTAAAAATACTAAATAATTTTCATATCATCTGTCTAAGTCAAGATAGACAAAGTTACCAATGGGACATACTAAACACCTATAAATTTAATTGAGTTGAATGAAAATTGATTCGAAAACCACAATTAAAACGAACAAAAGAAAAATACTAGATTCATAACACTTTATTTATGTAAGGTTTGGTGACGTTAAAAGTGACTAGGTCCACGAGTTGATCAAATACAAGAAAAAATGGACCCCTTTCTTGAGCAGTGACATCTCCATCACCTTTTAAATTCTCAAATATTATGCATAATATAATATTACTAAAGGTAACTTTACTTATCAATAAATTATAATAGAGAGATAAATATTATAATTCTTAATAAAAGGTTTTCACAAGTTCAAGTCTTTTGAATGGAGTTTTCTTTTTTTTAACTAGAGATCTCATTTATATCTACTAAATAAAGATACTTAATATAAACTTCTTTATGTGATTTCAGATTTAATCGATTTCAATATGAGATAACTGAATACTAAATAGAAAAAATAAAGTAACGTTACTTAAATCTATGTGGACTCGACTATAGAAAAAGACAATTCAAAGAGTACATAAGGCTCTATTAAGATTCTCAATGTACGTATTCTCACGTGGATCCACGTATCATATATATCTTTCTACTTATTCTAACCTTTCTACTATCATATATATCTTTCTACTTATTTTAACCTTTCTACTAAACTAAAATAAATAAAATATACTTTCTCCGTTTCGATTTGTTTTTCAAAATTAATTTAACATGAATTTTTTTTAAAAAAAGAACTTTCAAAACTTTGTAATATAAACTAACATACGTAAAATGTATCAAAATATTTTAATCCTATGATCTAACATTGCATGTAAAAAGTTAAACCTAAAAAATTGTCAAAAGAAGAAACGCTTATTTTTTAAACGGATGAAAGAAAAAAGTAAAGCAAAAAAATTGAAACGGAGATAGTATATTCTTTAGCCTTTAACGAATCCACACTATCTTCTATTCGATCAACACCCTCACTGCGAAATAAGAAAGAAACAAGAAAATGTATTTTTCGAGATTTAAAAAATATAGTAAACAAAAAATTAAAACAAGAAATAGTGGGTTCCTTAATTTTATTCCACTATCGTCACACAATCATATAATCTAGTGATATTATTCCCTTTGGTCTTAGGTCTGCACAATAATAAAATACGTTAAGTGTCTAAATTTTATTTTCTTAATACAAAATTTAGATATTTAAAAAATTTGTCGATGTTAGATTTGTTCAGAGAATCACGATAAGATATCAGACAACTTTATCCTCTATAACTTAAACAAATAAGAAAAAATTACCTACCGTATTTTTTAGTGTTTACTTATATTAAGTCATAATCTCCTCTAATTTTTTTCATCTATTTCATTAACCGTTAGACCATTTAGTCTATTTTTTTCATGTAATTTCCAATTATCAAGTTTTAAGTATTTTAAAATTAAGAAATTATTTAGACACTAGGGGTAAAAATGTCAATATATTAGAAATGTTGGGTTGTGTGTACCTTGGGGCACCAAAAACACCGGCATTAAGTGTAAGTTGATCAATAATAGCAGCGGATTTGGGCTCCACGCTCGAGGCTTTCGCGTATTGGTTGCCAAGTCCTTCTTCACCTGATGGCACAAAAAATGCTCCATTTACCATTACGTCTCCATCTGTTCTCCAGTTCCACCCACTCCATTCCCCCTCGTCTGTCTCCACGCGCTTTGTCACCTATTAAACAGACGAAACATTCTTGTTAACAATATTTAAATCAAGTACTTACAACTAATTATGGTTAATTTTTTGCAATTTGCAAAACATTCTTGTTAAAATTAACTAAAAAGGAACTATATTATGTCTTGTGGTAACGATTCCTCTGACATTATGACTTTTATTGAAATAATGTTGTTCATGGATTGAATTTTGTTTGACTATTTACGATTTTATTGTGTGTGGTCGAGGTAGAAATAGACAACCAAATATTAAGGGAGTGTTCGACAATGATTATATTTTTTTACGTTTTTCAAAGTTAAACTTCAGAAAACTCGTTTGTGGCCATGAGAAGAAGATTTTATCACTCCTTTAGAGTCCAAATTACTCGCAAAAAGTCAAAAACAATTTCAACTTGTATTCGTTGTCAACCACAACGACAATTTTCAAATATCATTATAAATATTTTTTAAAAAAAATTCATAATAAAACATGGCTGAACGCCTCGGAATTTTTGAATGATGAGAGTATGAGGGTGTTTTTCTTATATAGGAATTTGGGAAATTGAAACTATGGTCCCTACAAACAATGTCAATATTTTCCCCAATAAACCATGCAGTAAAACAAAAAAGCATATGTTCTAGGGGAGGTCTTTTCTCAAGTTGAAAAAAAAGATATGAATGTGACATTTAAGCTTTATATAAAAAAATTTAAAAAAGAAAAAGATAAGCCCTATATAATTTGCGTGCATTTTGAATAATTTTATGAAATATCTATTCTTTTATAAATATATATATCGGATAACTCTGTCCAGTAAAATTTAAACAAACGAAAAAAAAAGAGTGAAAAATACCTCTTTTGCATTTGCATCGAGTGGGGCAGTATATCGGTTGCCTTGACTATTAATAGTAGGATTAGCACTTCCTCCAATTGCATACATTTGCCATTCAGTAAAATCATTATTGACAACATGTATATATCCTCTTCTACATCTTGGCATTCTTTGTACTAGCCCTACTCCAAAATGATTGAATGCTATTGTCACCTATTTTATTCACAAAATTACACATTAAAACCCGAAAATTTAATATGAGGACAAAAAACTATATTATATGAAATATCTTAATTTTATTCTAAGCTATAGAGCTCCAATATGAACCCTAATTGAAGTATAAAGAATGGTAAATTCAAATCATAGTCAAAAGCATATGGATAAATAAATTCAAAGGTGAGTAAAAAGTACGAATTTCGACTGTAATTGTCTTAAAAAAATCATTTTGATATGTATAAGCTACTTCTTCTGTTTGAAAAAAAATGACTAAATTTAATATATAGAGTTTAAGAAAAAATAAAGAAGATTTTTCAATTTTATGATCAGAAAGTAAATATACCAAACTTAAACATGTCAGGTGGAAAACTGAAATTAAAGTGTTGTAAAAAAAAAAAAAAAGAGGTCAGAAGATAGGTCATTCTTTTTGAAAGTTTAGAACCGAAATAACTCACAATCACTAAAATCCAGCATGGTTAAACTTCAAATTCTTAATTTGTCTTTAGATAAATCCGAACCTTTTTCCAGAAGTAATTTTGACACGTGAAGTTCACTCATTTTATTTTGAAACTTCATTACAAGAACATTATGAAGGTTCCGACATGCATCAATCGATATTTTTTTGAAAAGTTTGAACAACATTTACGGAGGTATTGAAAATTCATCTAACCTGCATTCCAGCATCAGGCAAGTACTTATCATCATGTCCCAGCAGCATCACTTCATCATGGTGACTGAAATAGCTATTAGAGATCGTTATACCAGTGGACCCCATAATAGCATCAATTAAGCCATCAGTACAATGCGATAAAGCACAATGATCAATCCATATATTCCGTGACGCAAATATCGAGATCCCGTCGCCGTCCGATCTACCCCGGTGGCCGACGTGCGTCGGCGTCGACCGTATATTAGTATTCCCCGACGGTAAACAATTGTAAATATGAATATTGTGTATAATCACATTGCTAATATACTGTAACGTTATACATCCGTTACCGGTGATGTGAACTTTCGCTCCCCGGCCGTCGATTGTTTTGTAACTGTTAACGATGAGTTCGTGTTTCAATTTTATGAACATATCGCCGGAGAAGATGATCCAGAGTGGTTCTTCCTGGATTACGGCGTACCGGAGTGTTCCCGGAGTTGGATTTACGGTGTCGAGATCGGAGGAATCGGAAACGACGTAGTATTTGCCGTTTTTACCTCCTATTGCGTTCTGGCCGAAGCCGATGGCGCAATCGGCTAAGCGCTGCCGGTTTTTCGACCAATTTGGATCGCAGCGCCAGCAATCGTCTATTGGATTTCCGGTTTCACATTGGGTAGTTATGGCATTCATGGTGGTGTTCCATAGTTGCCTCCTCGAAATCGATTCGTTCACCTTCCTGTAAACAAAGAAAAAATATATATTTAGCATATAATTGTACTAGCACTAACACATCGGATTTCATCAGAACAGTCAAATTTAGTACTAGAATCGATATGAATATGTGACAATTTTGAGCTCAACCAACATATGCCGTGTGGGGAGCAAGATGAGTCATACATTTGGCGAGCGCTGGTGAAGAATGCAAGCAAAATTGGAGCTCGGGTATAGAGAAGCTGATATTTGTGGTGATTTTTAACCTTGAAGACATTGTAGCAGGGAAGAATCAAAACTCAAGATGGAGTTATCGTTAATGTGGTAAGTACTCTTTCATTCTTAATCAGAAATTTCGAATTCAAGTTCTGATTGTTGAGCTATCTTTGGTACACTATGTTTTACCTCCAATGTGAGACTTCCTGATACAAAGTCGGATTAGTTTGTCCTAAAACGGACATCGAACACCTCAAGAGAAACCAAAAGAAAAGCTCAAATTGGATTTTGTGGATTTTCTTGTAGAAAAACAGAGATAGTCAAACAACAATAATATATTCAGTGTAATTCAACCGTGAGGTCAATAAGATGTACTTAGACCTTACTTCTACCTATGTGGAGTAGAAAAGTTATTTCTGATAGACTCTCGATTCAAGTAAAGACACAAAGATGCTTATATGAGCAAAAAATACTAAGAATATGAAGTAATGTTAAGCATAAAGCTAGAATCACCTTTGTACTTCTTGAACCACAGCTTCAGGGTAAGGATGTTGATGAGGAAGTGTGAGATTAAAGGAAACTATAATTTGTGGGAAAAAAGAGATTAACAAACAAAACAAGAGAATGCATATAACAGAAAACATCTTTGTAAGTATCACAAAAATTGATTGAATGAGTTTATATATTCTTTGTATTTGTTGTTCTGTTTCTTGTGTAAAAGGAACTCTCTCAATGGAGGGAAGAGATTTCTTGCTCTTGAAATATTTTAGAAAACATAAATGTTTTATATATAACAATATAGTTGAGCACTAGTAACAAAAAAAATTATAATAATAGTGTTTTTGGACTTTGTAGTAGTATATTTTTGTGTGTATATGCAAAGCCAAAACCCAATACCCACACAAGGAAAGTTTAGTTTTTTTGTGTGTGAGAAAAGAGAGGAAGAAACCTCTTGTTGTTTTTCTCTCTTTTTGCCGCCTTCTTTTGCCACTTCCATAAATATGTCCTTTTTAATCGGCTCAGTGTATGAGTAAACATTTAAATTTATATGAAATTAAACAAGTAGGTAAATATGTTTTGCGTGACATAATGCATAGGATGTCGCGTAGGTCACAAAATTATCATATAGGATGTTACGTAGGATGAATGAATCTATTCGTTTAATTTTATATAAGTTTAAGTGTCTACGTGTGGACATTCAAAATTAGATGGTATAAATGTAAGTCAAGGTCAAGTTAAATGAAATGTTTATGTACTATGTCGAATTATTTTATATTATATAATATTCATATACTCTGTTCTTCTGTCTTAATTTAAGTGTCTTATTTTATATTTTAATCAATTTTAAAAAGAGAGTGGTTTTTTATATTTAGTAAAGCTTTTTAATTTCTATATTTTAAGTAACTAGTTTATATGAGAACTATACATATTTTTTATTTAAGAAATTTAAGACCATTAGATTAAAAGTTTTTATTTTTTACTTAAATTAAGATGAAAATAATTCATACTTGCACTGTCCTAATTCATATTGACATGATTCTTTGAGAGTCGTAATTTGACTCTCGATATTTAAACTATGTCATATAAATTGAGATCGAAAAAAATTAGAAAGTGGCGTATCCAAAAATGTATCAGCAGCTTCTTGTGGGGACAGAAGAGTTGGGATTTTTCTACTTAAGGGGCCGGAGATTCTTTTATTGAAAGGGAGAAAGATATTTATTTTTTTCTCTTTTATTTTTTCATAATATTATATGCTAGTTTATGGTATTATTATTATATTCTGCAAAATCTTTTTACTTTCCAGATCTGGTAAAACCTTTTTTAAAACACGTAATTATGGTTAAAAAGGTTGTGATTTGTGAATGTTAAGATTTGTCCTAAACTAAATTAACTATGTAACCTTTTTAAGATCATAATGCCCTACCAAAAATAAAAACAAACCATAATTGCAATAATAAGATAGTAGGTCTCTTCCATTATTTTTTTTGAAGAAAATTATTTTCTATTTTTTAATTATATTACCAAAAATGAAAACAAGCCTTAATGTTTGTGCATATATTTCTCAACCTTACACATAAATCGTTAGACGGTCATTTAATATTTGTAATTACTTTAAAATATTTAGATCATAATCTAATATTTTCTCATAATTTCTCAGTTAGTCAAAAAAATTCAATCAGTATGATCTAAATTTAATCGGTAAAATTTACACCAATAAAAATTTCAATCGGTAATAATTAAACCTGATAAAATCCATCTTAGCAACATGCTTGTTAGAAAAAATCATTAAAATTAACATCTGAAAAACATGAATAATGATTTTAAAATTGTGCACTATTTATTTCCTACAAACACTACAATTATCGATGTTTCCATTATGAATAAGCAAAACAAGTCAAGTTCCCAAACAAAGCAAACATCATGAAATTAAAAACCTTTGAATTCTTATAAATACTTTAATTGCAAATATATTATATGATGTTATTGAATTAGATAAGTTTTATATAAATATTTTTTGTTTGGCTAAATCAATCTAAAAAATACTCTTAACATGATGTGATATTAATTATTTTAGGCTATACTCGTATGATTTTTTCAAATGACCTATATTAGTCCCTACTGACGAGTGACAACTTTCCGAATCTGTTTTGAAAAATAACCTCTTCCAAATTTCACAATTAAAGCTCCATAACAATGTTATGAAATTTCAGATGTAGAATTTTGAATTGCAAATATATGATGTTATTGAATTAGAAAAATATAATTAATTAAAAAAATTATTTCCCAAAAATATTTATATCCTCAAAATATCCAAATATGTTTGTTTTTTTCATGTATAAACATAATGATTTTTAGATAGGATTTCCTAGGACATTTTTCACAAGATTAGTTGACTGAATGTGGTAGGTGCAATGTCATAATTTTTTGGGTATCAAATTTTTAAAAATCAATCATGTTAATTATAATATAATATAAAAATCATCCCACCAATCTAATTATTGAGCAAAATATAATAGATCGAAGTGGTTATTATGTTAATTATATAATTATCATATAGTGAATTCCATGTCATTTATTTATCCCTTCCAAAATGGTTCATGTCATATTAGTACTTAGATTCTGGATGCCACATTAAAAATAAAAAAGTATTAAGTTGCATAAGCTCCAAATATTACTAGGTTAATAGCTGAGGAAAGCACACCAAACTAAAAAGTATATTTTATAGAAATTAAGTTAAGTTAAATAATTTGACAAAGATATAAGATTTTAGTGTGTGAGAGAGAGAGAGCATATTTCTTCTTTTTTTTTTAAAATATTCCTCCCGGTGTTCGGAGACTGTACTGGAGTTTTGGCAAAATTCAGATTGCACACTGTAGGATTCATTTGAGATGGCGCTTGCAACATGATTCTCTTCGTACCCAAGATCCAAACCTAAGACTTCTGGTTAAGAATGAAGCAGTTTCACCGCTGCACCACGGTATCTTTTAGTAGAGGTAGCATATTTCTATATATAGCATGACTTTAAACATTGCATCATCAAAATGGCATGTCTGCTCATTTACTATTACAAGAGATTTAATATATATATATATATATATATATAAATTATGTTGATCACTATGGATATTGATGAAAGAAGAAGGATTGATGTGGTAATCGACATGTCATTTTGATTAAAATGAAGAGGGAAAATTCGCGATACTTTTATAACATCAACGGGTTGTCACATATGATTAATAGTTCGTTAGGAGGTACATTAAAAATAAATATAGCATCTAATTTATAATTTGAAATTCGAATAACTAATATGTGTATAAGTTAAATTATATATTATTTTATGAAATAAAAGGTGGAATAATTGACATATAAATTCTCACACAACTAAAAAGGAGAAGAACAATTAGGAAAAAAAAGATTAAAAAATTGTAAATGAAGTTCAAATAATACAAACAAAATATTATAATAGTTAGATTTAGGAATTAGGAGTGGGGTTATAGGAAAATGAGTACACTAATTGTCCATGGACTTTAATTAGGTAAGTGGATCTATATCATTGCATTTTGAAACTTCAAAAACTAGTTCTAGGCTTAATTATTGGAATGCAAAATCTATTAATATGTATCTTTTTAAAGATTACCCACAACCAATTTAATTTGTTGGTCCAATAGTATACTATAAAAAAAAACGAACAAATCTTGTAGGATTTTCGAAAAAAATATATTCTTTCAAAAAATAAATCGATAATTAATCATTTACTTCTCACTTCGTGAATAGCGAGGACATTGTGGAATATCTAAAAGGGGGATTTTGTAATTGAAATATTTTCTCAAAGGTATTATATTCCATTAATTAAGTAATTAACTCCTCGTGGAGTAGTCTAATGATGCTTTCTTCAAAAATAAGTTAAAGATAATACTATAAAAAATAATTATATTGACGGGAAATATTGCAAATAAAATAAAATAAACTTTAATTGAGTCAAAAACACATCAATGTCATGAAGTTGAAACAAAGAATATAAACATTAATGATGAGTCAGTATTGTGTAATTCTCCACCGCCCTATTTTTGTTTCTATTGGAGTTATTACTTTTTCTAAAAGAAGATATATTTAAATATGAATTCTAAATTTTATATATTTATATAAATTTTGAGTAATTTTCATACACATTTCATATGAAATTATTGAATTCAGTTAAATTTATTAAATATAAGATACAATAGCCTATTTGGCTAAATTTATAAATTAATTAAACTAATTAGCTTATAATCATTTTTTGGTTTTATTCGTCAAATCAAAATCAGTCATAAGTTGATTACTCCAACTCATGATTTTATAGTTACAATTTTAATCCTATTATCTTTTGTAATCTTCAAAATACTCTTCATATAATATACTAACATTTAATATCTCTTTATTTTATTTCCATCCTTTGTTTTTCTTAATGTAAAATTATACGTTTAAATTTATATGTTTAGTAAATATCTTTAAAGATATTATTATAATAGAATAAGTATTTATTAAAATACTTTTACGTCACGACCCAAAAATGAATGTGATGACACTCGTTTTATCCCACCAAGACAAGTCAGCCTAAAACTTAGTCATATGCGGAAATTTTTATAATCAACTCAAAAATGCCCCCAAAATCTGGGTGTCACGTGTACAAACCTCTAATGTGTTATAACAAAATTGAAAAAAAAGATAAGTTTCAAATGATATTGTTTCTAGAATAGAACAAGATCATAATTAAGGAAAAAGAAGGTCCACTGAAATGAAAAGTAGCTACCTCACAAACCTCCACAAGAAGCCTCAGACAAGGAGAAGAGAAAATATCACAAAGGTCCGGGCTAGAAACCTACAAAAAAAATGTAGTAGCAAGGGGTGAGTACCAAACCACACGGTACTCAACAAGTAAACCTCTAGACACAAGCTAAGGGGATAGAATACGGGTACTCTTTACACCCCAACCGAACCTCCACAACTACAACCTGCATAAAACCAACTCAACCTAACAGTTCACAATTTACAAGCGCATATCTCAACAACAACATTCTAACAATCACATATTCTCAACAACAAGCTCAATATTCATCAATTACAACTTTCACAAAAAAGGCACTCACAAATATCAGCAACACACAAGATCAAGTTCATCAAATAGAGGTAATCAAATATCCAGTACTTTCCAACCACCAATAAAACACATAATCATCAAGAATGAAGGATGTCATGGGATGCAATGCAATATGACACCATGAAATGATATGCCTCAGAATACCAAGTACTCTCTTAACCGTATATACATGATAC